CAGAGCCAGCCTAGGTGCCCTCATGTCCACACCCACACCCACACAAACCCATCACCCTCATTCTTACCTGCGGAGTAGAAAACTCAAGCCAAAAAGCATGTGAGGAGGTGGGGGTGAGGAAAGGGGAGAAGTAACAACGATGAGGATGATGATGGTAGCTAACATCAACATTATGCTTACTATGTGCCAGGCACCATGCTAAGTGCTTTATCTCATTTGACCCTCAAAACAACCCTGGGAGGGACGTGCTATGATTATCACCCCCACTTTACCAAGGAGGAAATTGAGGCAAATGTAAGTTAAATGACTTGCTCAAGATCACACAACTAGTAAGGTGGAGAACAGGCTGCCCTGTACTAGACCTTCCCACAAATGCTTGGACTGGGACGAGGGTCCTTAACCTTGGACTTGGGGGAGGTCTCCATGAACTTGTTTTTAAAAATTTTAACAACTATTTCAATAGGTTTCTATAGTAACCTTATGCATTTTATTTTATACATTTAAAAATATAAGGAGTCCCTAGGCTATGACACAAAAAAAAAAAGGTCAAGAACCCTATGTGGTCATCAGGGTCCCTTCCACCTCTAACATTCGGTGGTTCTACAAATCTTTGAGAAATAAGGTTACAATGAGCCCCCGGGGCAGCTGTGACAAGGAAAAGAAGCAACCCCAGGGTGGGGCTGGGAGGGGCTTGGAAGGGTGGAGCATTCTCCAAGACAGCCAGGGTTATAGCCAGCATACTGTACTAGAAGGAACGCTCCACTTAGAGCTGGGGGTCGGAATCCTGACTCTGACACTTATCACCTGTGCAATCATGGCCAAGTCAAGCCTCGTATCCTCTCTGAGCCTCAGTTTCTTTATAATACCATGAACACTACACTACCTAGAAAACCCTTTTACACATTGTCCAATACAATATGTATAAGACTAGAGCTGTTAATGTGAGTTAAGTTCCAGGAGCCTTCACCCCCAGTTACCACCAGATGGGGGAGCCAAGCTTCTTTCCCCAGCTGCCTTGAGTCATTGCCCAGGTATCCAACATCTCCATTCACATACCCCAGGCCCGCCACTTTAATAAAAATAAAGAAAGAATTTAAAAGGCCTGGACTGGCCTCTAGGGACAGCCCGGAGGGTGTCGCCCATTTAGGGATCTTGCTCTTCCCAAGCTCTTGCCCCCAGGCCCAGTAGGCTTGGCCCACACAGACTACATTAGGTTGGACCTCCTTCCTGTGGTTGATGCCTAGGAATGTCTAGAATAGAACAGACTCTAGACTGTGCCCTTCTGCCCCAGCAGAACTCCCATGATTCATGTCCTGTTTCCAGCTGAGACAAAGAAGGGGGAGGTCCTTCTCGGTTCTCTTCTAAGCAGTCCCCTCCTGGTGACAGGCCTTATGCCTTTGGCCGCCTTCTCATCCTAAAATGTACCCCCAGCTTGCTCTGCGCTGACCTCCTGCTCTACTACCTTCTGGCCTTTTCCCATTTGGTCTCTGGAGGTAAGAAAATGTGTCATTCCTTTCACCCAGAGTTCATGAGTGAAAATTATGAAGAGGCAGATTTCAGCTCCATATAAGGAAAAGTTTCCTTGCTAAGACTGAGAGATGTCCCAGAAAAAGTGCAATGGATTGTCTTGGGAGGGATTAAGTTCAACATATCTATATTTTTTGCCCCGTGTAGTTTCATTTATGATTTCTTGAAATATAGGGCTGGAAAATCAGGCTTTGATAAAACCCATTAGAATTCAAATGGAGCTACATGATGATGCCTAAAATCCGAATCCCTGGTTCTCACCAGTTGGCCAATAATAGGTCCTAGCCCAGACCTTACTTGGTCATTGGTAGGGTTTTGATGGCTGAGAGTGAGTGTAAATAGCAATTGTTTCTGTTCTGGACAGAAACCCTGAGGGTCTTGCCCAATCAGATTGATTTTTTTTTTGGAGTAGGTAAAAGAGGCCTTTTTTTGCCTTATTTCTTATGTAGCCTTAATCCCTGAATGAGTGTTGCCCCAGACAAACTGAGACCTAGGAAACACCTTAGCTTAAAAAGGCCAAGGTCCCCTACTGCAGCAGGAGCCATCTCTAGTCATCTTGATCTATGCCTTGCCACTGGACCCAGATGGCTCTGGAGGAGAAAGTGAGGCTGGTGACTTTGCACAGCCCTCTCTCACTTAAATCCAATTCACTTACAAACCAAGACATCACCTTCCTGATGTCATTGGTCCTCTTCAAGAAGGAAAGTCAAACAAGATGAAGACTGTAGACAAAATTACCTCCAAGGTTGTCCTTCCTTTCCAAATGAGAACTTGTGAGCCTCTATGTCTCTATACCTGCCATTTCAATTAGCATTTACCTAGAAAAGCATCACAGAGCTAGCTGGAAGGGGCCTCGACCATTCTCTGATACAAACCCTCCTGCTCAGGGCTCAAATCTTTGCCACTATCCTTGATGGTGGTCACCTAACAAAACCTCCAATTATAGGGAACTCACTACCAACAAGAAACATATTGCTCAAAATAAAAATTGGGACAGATCATCTCACAAAAGATATTCCTTTTGCAAGCTCTCAATGAAAGTAGAACTTATTTTTCTTGAAATCTGGGCCAGCCCAGAAAATCTAGGGCATAGAGTCTCCGAGTTACTACCTCCTGAGACAGCCCACCCATTTCACTACTGGACAGCCCTAATCGTTATCAAGTTTTTCCAGTCAATGAGCCAAAATCCACTTCCCTGGTTTCAAGCCACGTGAACTAGTCTGTTATCTATAACTACAAAGAGTAAGACTAATCTTTTCACATAACAGTCCTACAAATATTAGAGGATTCCCATTCTTGTCCCTGATAAGTCTTTTCTAGGCTAAATCTTCCCAGTCTGATCAAAGACCTGAGTTCAAATCTAGCCTCAGACACTTACTGTGCCACCCTGGTTAAGTCACTTAACCTCTGTTTGCCTTAGTTTCCTCATCTATGAAAATGGAGATAATAACAGCACCTCCCTCCCAGGGTTGCTGTGAAGGTCAAATAAGATGATAATCCTAAAGCACTCAGCACAGTGCCTGGCACATAGTAAATGCTATATAGATGTTAGCTATCATTATAAAACATCTATAGACCCTGGATGGCTTCCTCCGAACACACTGTAATTTGCCAACATCACTCCAAAACTGCAGCCCCAGAACTGAGCACAGAAGTCCAGGTGAGGTCTGGCCAGGATTAATGCAATTAGGCAATCATATCACATTTATGGTAATGAAGATTCACATTGCATCATTTTTTTGGCTACCACATCACAATTTCAACTGCCTTAGAGTCAGCTAAAACTTGGGTGTCCCTTAGATATCAAAAAGGTTATGGCAGCACTTTTTGTAGCAGCTAAAGACTGGAAACAAAATGGTGTCCATCAATTAGAGGGGCGCTGAGCCCATTATGGTCTATGAACAGAGTGGAATATTGGTGTGCTATCAGGAACAATGAATGTACTGAGAAACTCTGGAAGATCTGGATGGACCAATGCAGAGTGAGGAAATCAGAAGCAGGAGGGCAGTGTCCAGTACAGAATGACAAACCCGAGAACAAGAACCAAATCACACACAAAGGTCAATAACAGACGGCGGCTGAACTGTGTCTTGGGGGAAGATGGACTCCAGGGAAAGGCACAGAATGTGGCACTTACTGATACCATTTTGGAAGGTTCTGTTTCAAGAAGTCAGTCAATGAGCTAAGCACTAAAAGTACACATACAAACAGAAAGACAGTACAGTCCCTGTCCTCAAGGAGCTTACGTTATAATAGAAGAAGATAACACATAAAAGGAAGTCTAAGGGATTGGGGGGGGCGCCCTGGGCAAAGTTTTTGCTGTAGCTGGAGGTCTGCACACTATCAGGGGTGGGTTTTCAAATTAAAGTAAAACCTCTCAGAATTTTTCACATGAATTGCTCTTATTCTGGATCTCCCCTATCTTATCTCTACATGGTTGTTGGGTTTTTTTTAATCTAAAGATGGGACTTTAACTTATCTCCATCAAATGTCATGTTATTACCTCCCAATCTTGTTGCTTCTTGACAATGCTAGAAACCGCTTCAGTTTTACTCCTCTTCAAATTTAAAGCCTTCTACCTTCAACTAAGTCTCAGTTCAAGGTGTGGAATAGGATAGGGATATTCCCTAGGGAATGACACCAGGGATGTCCCTTCCAGGTTGACCCATCCATGTCCCCAGATATTATCCTGAGGGGCTTTTTATCAAACACCTGGCCAAAGTCAAGAGACACCCCGACAAAGACATTTCCCTAGGTCTATCAATTCAACAAATGAAAATTTAGTGTTTACTATGTGCATGACTCTGTATTAGAAGCTGAGAATATAAAGATTTTTAAAGTAACAGTCCCTGTTCATAAAGAGTTTCCAAACTAACGTCTTAACAAGACTTGTCATTAATGAGCCTATCTAGAATCATAGGAAACAACTCTTTCTTCTCCTAAGTGCTCATAAATCACCTATTTTATAATCAAGTATGGAATTTTGCTGGGGATTTATCTCAGTCCATCCAGCTATAGACTGGAAACTCCCAAATAGCCCATATTTGCAATCCTATAGGTAGCAAGAGGCAGAGCCAGCACTCAAACACAGGATTTCTGACTCTCGGTGCAAGTGATCCTTCCACTGCATACTGATGGCTCCCAGTGCACTAGCCACGGACAATGCCAATGGTCTGGAACAATGGCGGTCCCATTTCTTCTCTCTAGCCTGTTTCCTTGGTTGTAACCAATCATTACTCAGAAGGGACTCTGCTAAGTAACACTGTTCTCTCACAGGAGGCTGGTCAGAAGGACTAGTTTTGACTTGTTAAATGTATTTAAAAAACAAAACAAAACAAAACAAAACTTCAACAAACTAATGTGCTCAGTGCTGGCTCAACAGAAAGGCACTCAGCCGCCGAAGAAAGAGACGTCTGAGAAGCACCCTTCATTCTACCGGTTTGTCCAGGTCTCATCATGCTTTGCACACTTACCATCTAGGTCATCTAATTTCCCTGGAGCTGTGCATATAAGATTCCTCTGCCTGCTCCTGGCAGCTAGTTGGGGCAAACTTACTCGTGACTTCCAAGGATGACTGACTCTTGACCTGAAATGAGCCACAAAGGATGGGGGGAAGGGAAGGGTGGGGAAGAAAAAGAGGGGAGCCACAGTGAGCAAAGAAGGCATCACACCCCTGCACATTGGTCCAAAAGGCAACATTACAGAGAAAACCCCCAAGGGGCACGGGGAAACAATCACCGAAGACTGAACAGAGCAAGTTATAATAATCCAGATCCCACTCCTGACATTGTGAGAATTTAGCTAAGCTCCAAGAAGGCTGCAGGGTAAATAGCAGTCGAAGGACCACAGATTTCAAACAGGAAAGGCACACAAAGGCCATTGGGTTCCAAGCCCCTCGTTTAAAGGAAGGTGAGGCATTAAAGGTTAAATGACTTGCCCAGGATCACACAGCTAATAGCTGAAGGAGGCAAGATTTGAACCCAGCTTATCCTGACCCCAAGTTCATGCTCTATGCACTACATCAACCTAGAAGGGGTGTGGCTTTAGGAAGCAATAAGATCATGTGACCTAGAAGGGATCTATCTTGGAGATAACCTAATTTAATATCCTCATTTTATGGATGAAGAAACTAAGGACCAGAGAGGCATTGTTAACCAGTGAGAAAAAGCAATGGGTTTGGAGTCAGAGGACCTGAATTTCAATTTGGATTCTGCAACTTACTACCTGTAAAACTTACTCCTCATCCATAAAACAGAAGTGAAGCATATTTTCATTGCACAGGTATTGGGATGATAGCACTCTGTAAATCCTGAAGTTACAACGAGGAGTTAGCGCCTATGGGCTTGGAGAGATCCCCTTGCGCAGAACAATCAAGGAGAGGAACAAGTCTTTTCTTGTCTGCAAGTCTAGCCTCTGGTCTTGGCAAGAAGGGGTCTGAGGCCACACTTCAATGTTAGAGGAATCAACACTCTGTCTTAGAGAGGCCCTCCACTGTGATCCGAAGACTCCTTGCTACTACCCAGAAGAGACTCCCTGGGTTCTAAGTCAAACACAAAGGACCCAGCAGGAAGGCAAGTCCTAAATGGGGTGGCTAGAGCTAGGAGGGTACCTACCTAGAAACATCCATCAATATCACTCAGGAATGGGAATGGGGAAGATGGGCCTGGGCCCAAGCTGACAGATGACACCACTGCAGGGGAGCCAGTGCTGAGAAACTACAGATTCACATTTACAATTTGTCTCCAAACCCACAAGGGATTCCCCTGCAATTAAGGAAGTGCCCCAGCCCTACAAACACTCCAGGCCCCTCGGGCTACCCTTCTGAGACTTTATTCTTTCAGGCTGCCAGGAAGAAACTTTAACCTGGTTTCAGCTGGTGACAAATGTCTAGAGTGAAAGGGAGTCACGGTGAGATCGATGAGATCGCTCCCAACCAGCACTCCTAGGGCTGGCACTGAAGACTGCATTATAATGTATGATAAAGGGATGGGATTTAAAAAAAGAAAATTGACAGATGATGGAGCAAAAGCCTTAGGCCTGGAGCCAAAACCAATAATAATAGTTGACATTTATATAGTGTTTTATGGTCTACAAGTGCTTTACATGTTATTAAATTTGCTACTCGTAATGATCCTGTGAGGTGAGTAGTGCAATTATTATCACTCCAATTTTACAGGTAAAGGAAACTGAGGCCCCAAGAGGTGATATACTGGGTTTACCTCTGGGTCTCACCTAACACTGAAAAGCAGGGGATGGGTTCAAAGGAAAGGAGGGTAACCACAATGGGAAGGGACTCAAGATCATGGCATCTGAGGATTGGCTAAAGGAATTAAGGACATCTAGCCTGGAGAAGAAAAGACAGGTGAACGTGTTAACTGTCATCAGTAATTTGAAAGGCTGTCATGTGGAAAAGGGATTAGAAGCGTTCTACTTGGTTTCAGAGTCTCCAAGGCTGGCTCATCATCCCTCACATCCCTTAAGTGTGGGTGCTCCCCAATTTTCTGTCTTAAGATCCCTTCTCCCTCTACACCCTTCACCAGACAGCCAGAGGTAAACATCACACACAAAAGAACCCCTGTCTTAAGTTCAACCTATCAAAAACTAAATTGTTCTTCTCTACCCTTCACTCTCAAAATCCTACCCTCTTCCATTTGAGTCATTTTCAGTTGTGTCCGACTCTCCTCGACCCCATTTGGGGATTTCTTGGCAAAGATACTGGAGTGGTTTGCCATTTCCTGCTCCAACTGGTATGACAGCTGAGGAAACTGAGGCAAACAGGGTTAAGTGACTTGCACGAGGTCACACAGCTAGTAAGTGTTTGACGTCAGATTTGAACTCAGGAAGACGAGTCTTCCCGAATCCAGGCTTGGTACTCTATGTACTACAGCACCACCTAGCTGCCCTCTTCCAGACTCCCCCAATGTACTGAAGGTACATACTTCTATGCTCCCAGTGTCTCAGGTTCATAATCTCAGCCCTACTCTTGTCTCTTCTCTCATCCCATGTATCCAGTCACTTGCTACATCTTGCTGTTTCTGTATTCACAACATCTCTCTCCTCTCACCCAACTACCACCTTAGTTCAGCTCACCTCCTGCCTAGATTATTGCAACAATCTCCTCATTGGATTCTCTAACTCAAATCTCTCAACACTCCAGTCCACCCTACCACCACTGCCGAAATCATTTTCCTTAACCACACATCTGACCAGATGACGCCCTATCCAACCATCTCCAAGTGCTTCCTGTCGCTTCTAAACTCCACAGCCTGGCCTCAACTATCTTTCCAGCCTTCTTGGAGATTATTCCTTCTCCTCTAGTCTGTGACCCAACCAAAATGCCTTTGTTTCTTCTCTGATCCTCATGTACAATGCTCCCTTCTCCTGTCCCTATGCTTCAGCACTGGCCCTCCCCCACGCATGGAATGTGCACCCTCCTTACCTCTGCCTGACATAGTCTCTCCCTTCCTTTTAGATGAATCCTATATGACAATCTCCCTGCATGAACCCTTCCCTAATGCCAGTGGCTAGTGCCAAACTACCTTATTTTTTTAAACTATTATATATATATATATATGTATATATGTATATATATATATATATTATATATATATATATATATTTGTATTTATTAACTTTATATTTATGCAATATATTTACATATGTACTTGTCTCCCCTTCTGGAATATAAGACTCTATTTCATTCTTTATACTTGTCCCCCAGTGCCTGGCACTTAGTAAGATATTAATAAATACTTGATTAATTGGTGGGCAGAATGAGAAGCAATGGAATGGATATAGCTAAGGTTCAGATTATGTTCTGACACGAGGAAAAACTTCCTAAGAAATGGAACAGTTCTAAATTAAGCTGCCTGCCTTGGGAAGTAGTGAGTTCCCTCTTACTAGAGGTCACCAAGCAAAGAAAGGATGAGCCTTGCTGAGGATGCTGGTAAAGGGTTCTCTTCATCAGGCATCAGGTAGAATGAGTGGTTCCTGTGAAGTCTGTGATACTACCCAGCCCACCAGGAGTCAGAGGACCTCAGAATGAATCCCAGCTCTGTTATTTATAATGCATGGCTTTAGGGACAAATCTCTTCCACTCTCCTGGAATCAATTTCCTCATCTTTAAAATGAGGGGACTGAACTAGGTGACCCCTAAAATGTCCTGAAATTCTAAATCCTATGATAATACCTGTTCTACTCAACTCAGTGGGATGCTACGAGAAGCAAATTCATGTGTGCGTAACAGGTTCGCCTGCAGGAGTGTCATCTGTCCCCGTGGGCTCCCGTGGGCTGTGGTCTCTGTGGCACTGGCAGTAGTGTCTTTATCTGGTTTTCCCGAAAGGTGCATCCAGGGCTCTGATGGTACCATCCCCCATCCCCATCTCCCTAAAGTGCTGGCATGCTGCTCAGCCCAGAACCAAACATGGCCTAGGGGTCTTTTCCCTTCAAAACAGGAAGGGATGCCCTGCCAAAAAGCAAACAAACAGGAATTACAGACAGTCCCAGTTTGTTTTGAAGCTCCCAGCTCTCCTTCCGGACTCCTAAGAGGGAGCCCCACGGAGCCATCAAAACCTCCAGGCTGTACAGGAGTTGCAAGCAATTCCTCCCCTACTAGACAGTACACGCCATCAGATGCATTAATTAATAGCTTTCAATGCTCCCACAATTTACCCCCCAATCTCCCAGCACCACCAGGACCTTGCCCAAACATGGTGCTTGATAAAGACTTGAATTCACTTTGTGCTAAATGTTACCTTCCTCGTGTCTGCCCAGAGAGCACTGACCCCTCAAACGAAGATGTGTCCTTCCATGCCCTCAGATTCTCCATTCCATCAAGAAGAGTTTTGGTTTCCACTTTTCTCCCCTAATCTTGCCATCACACAGCCCCATCTCCCCCTCTTCTCAGGCATCTTTTGCAGTTTCTTCAGTAACTAATACCATACTATACCATTTCAATCTAGGAAAGATCATAAAGGCACTGGGGAGACAGGTACAAAGAATGAAATGATCTCTATTCACAAAAGGCTTATATACTCTACTGGGGAAGACAACAAGTACATGTATAAATATACAGCATAAATATAAAGTTAATATTATATATTATATGCAATATAATAATAAAAATACAAATGCATGCAACAGTTCAAAACAAGGTTGTTTGGGAGGGAGGGTACTCGCAGTGGGAGTCAGGAAAAGGTTTATGCAGAGATGTGGTTGAGATTCACATAAAAGGAAGAGAGACATTATGAGGTACAAGTAAGGAGGGTGTGCATTCCAAGCATGGCAGAGGGCCATGCTAAAGCAGAGAGATGGGAGAAGGGAACATTGTATATGAGGAGCAGAGAACAGACAAGGGCACTTTGGTCGCCAGGTTGGGCTCAGGTTGTGTAGGGTTGTAAAAGCTGAACGCAGGAGTTTGTGTGTTTTATTCTAGAAGCAGTAGGAAGAGTGTGAAGCTGGTTGAGTAGAGGAGTCATCCGGTCAGACGTACGGTTAAGGAAAATGATTTTGGCAGTGGTGTGTGGGGTGGACCGAAGTGTTGAGAGACTTGAGCTGGAGAATCCAATTAGGAGGTTGTTGCAATAATCTAGGCAAGAAAGGATGAAGGCCTGAACTAAGGTGGTAGCCATGTGAATGAAGAGAGAAAGTTGGACGCAAGAGATGTTGTAAATACAGAAACAGCAAGGTTTGGCAACTGACTCGATACACGGGGTGAGAGAAGAGACAAGAGTGATGATGAGATTATAAACCTAAAACATTGGAAGGATGGTGGTGCCTGCCATAGAAATAGGGAAGTTTGGAAGAGGGTAGGATTTTGGGGGGAATAGATGATGAGTTGAGTTTTAGAAATGTTGACTAAGATGTCTCCAAGGCATCCAGTTTGAAATGTCCAACAGATAACTGGTGATACAGGTGTGAAAATCAGGGGAGACACAAGGACAGGAAGAAAGAGAGGAAGAAAGGGAGGGGGGGAAAGAGAGAGAGAAGAGACAAAGGGGGGGTGAAGGAGGAAGGGAGGGAGAGAGAGACAGAGAGGAGAGAGACAGGCAGAGAAGAGACAGAGAGAGGGAGAGGGAGAAAAAGAGAGAGAGAGAGAGAGAGAGAGAGAGAGAGAGAGAGAGAGAGAGAGAGAGAGAGAGAGAGAGAGAGAGAGAGGAGAGATAGAGGAGAGGGGGAGAGATAAAGCCACTGGAGCCTTGGGAAGCACCCATATTTGAGGGCATGATGTTTCAGATGAGCCAGTAAAAAGGGACAAAGAAGGAGGAAGTCTCCATCCCTGGTCAGAGAACATATGAAGGACTGAATTCAGTTCCAAGTGATCCATTTTAGAGAGGCTGAATCATGTCCAGAGGAGAGCTGCCAGCATGATGATGGGGCTGGAGACCATGTAGTCCAAGGAATGAACAAAAGAACTGAAATATGTAACCTGGAGAAGAAAACCAGCACTTGGAGGGGACCTGATTGCTGCCTTCCAGGATATGAAGATCACTCAAATAGAAGACGGGTTAGACACGTCCCATGTGGCCCAAGTACAAAACAAGGCATGAAGGGTGGACATCACAAAGAGGCAGATAATGTCCAATAACACTCTTACATTTTATCATTTTTATTTACCAAATATTTGTATAGACAGGTTTCCAAGGTGGAATCTAGGAGAGATGAGGCATTCCTTGTCAGAGATATCCACAGAATAAAACTCAGAGCTGGAAGAATTTCTGCCAAAGATCAAGCACACGCCTGAAAAGGAGACCCTACCACAACATTTCCCTAATGTCGTCACCTTGTGTCTTTGAGACGACCTCCCAAGAAGAAGAATGCATCAGTTTCCTGGCAGACCATTCCACTCCCAGATAGATAACTTTAATTGGCAGGCTTAACCTTACATTGAACCTAAATTTTACTTATTGACAACTTCTGCTCATCACTCCTGAGGCCCAGAAAAAGAAGTCACTCCCTCTTCCAGGTGACAGTCCTTCAAATACCTGAAAAGAGCTCTCGTGTTCTCTGAATCTTCTCTTCTCCACGATAAATATTCCTGCTGCCTCTCACCAGTCCTCCTGAGGTGGACTCGAGGCTCTTTACCATCTTGGTGGTCCCTCTTGGGAAGCTCTCCAGCTCCCCAAGGTCCTTCCCAAGCTGTGGCATTAAGCACAGTGCTCCATATGTGGCCTGATTAGGGCAGAGGACTATGGACCTATCACCTAAAGCCTGTACTGACATTTTTTTTTGGTGGCCACATGACACTGCTGACTCACTAAACATTCCCTACACTAACCTCGCTCTCACGTCATCTTTTCCAAATAACTGAAGTCTTACAATGCCTTCCCCATCTCGTACTTATGAGGTTGATTTTTGAACCCTAGTTTATTCCATCCATATTAACTTTCATTTTATTAGAACAGACCCAATATTCCAGTCTGTCAAGAACTTTTTTGTGTGTTATAATCACCATAAAGTATATAAGCATTTACTAAGCGCTTATTGTATGTGAAGAACTATGCCAAGCACTGGACAAAGACAAGACTGAGCTAACCCCTGCCCTCAAGGAGCTTATATTCTACTGAGGGGATGCAACATGTTCATAGATAAGTAAATACAAGACAAAAGCAAAATAAGTACAAAGTAATTTAGAGAGAGGACACAAGAGGTGGCATTTGCACTGAGTTTTAAAGGTACCTGAGGGTCCCCAAAAGCAGAGGTGAGAAGGAAAGAGCTTTCCTAGCATGGGGGATAGCCTGGACATGGAGAAAGAGGTGGAATATGATAAAGGGAACATCATGGAGGCCATTTTGGTTAAAATATAGCATGCATGAGGGAGAGTAATCTATAATCTTCATGGAAAGATAATATGGAGCTAGACTGTGAAGGGTTTTAGATGCCAAATAGAGGAATCCGTATATGATCCTTAAGTCACCAGGGAGACACTGAAGCTTATTGAGTAGGACAGCGCCATAGTCAAACAGGTACTTTAGGGATATCAATTTAGCAGCTATGTGAAGCACCAATTAGAGAAGGAAGAGACTGGAAGCAGGGAGATGGATTAGAACACTACTGCAAAATAGTCCAGGGTAAAGAGTGATGAAGATTTGAACTAGGATGATGGCCATGTGAATGGAGAGAGAGAGAGAGAGAGAGAGAGAGAGACAGACAGACAGACAGACAGACAGACAGACAGACAGACAGAGAGACAGAGAGAGAGATGGGGAGGGAGGGAGGGAGAGAGAGAGAGGGAGAGAGGGAGGGAGGGAGGGAGAGGGAGAGAGAGAGAGAGAGAGAGAGAGAGAGAGAGAGAGAGAGAGAGAGACAGACAGACAGACAGACAGACAGAGAGACAGAGAGAGAATGAGACAGAGAGAGAGATGGGGAGGGAGGGAGGGAGAGAGAGAAGAGAGAGACAGACAGAATGAGAAATGAGACCAGAATGTATAAATATGAGAGGATGATAGTTGAAAGCATGAAAGCTGATGAGCTCACCAAGACAGAGCTCATCAGAGCCAATGAACAGAGAAGGCCCATGACAAGGCCTGATAAGCAGGCAACCTATGCCACTATCAAAGGAATTGATAAAAAAAAATATTAAAACAGCCCAAGGTCTCAAGACCCTCCTCTGGAAAGCCTCCCTTCTCGGTTGCCTTTGAACCATTAATTATCATTCTTGGGAATCTAGCCACACAACCAATTCCAGATCTACCTGTTTATACCATCATCCAGCCTATATCATTCCATCTTCTCCATAAGAAGAACAAGAGTAACTTTATCAAATTCCTTGCTAAAATACAGGTAAACGACATCTACAGCATTCCCGTACCCTTCTAGTCTACTAACCCCATCAAGATATGGAAATCAGTTTAGTTTAGCATGACCTGCCTATGAAAAAAATTGAGAAATTAAGACTTTTTCCCAAAACAATTGGTTGGAAATGTAAGAATTATGTAACGAAAATAGCTCATGTTTCTATAAAAACTTTAAGTACGGTTATAAAAGATTCTCATAACAATAGTCTTAAGTAGATGGTATGAGCACTGTTACCTCCATTTTACAGACAGGGAAACTGAGGCACAAACATTAAACAACTTGTCCAAAACCACATAGCTAGTGTGGAATTTCAGCATGGAAGCCAGACCTTAAATGAAGGTATTTTAACTTTCCAATTCACCAATTCTCATAAACTAGAGGTGGCCCTATAACAAAGCAACACAACCAAAAAACACTTTTAAAAAGTAAACGGCTGTAAATGTAAAGGTAACTGAAGGTACTTAGATGTCTCAGCTAACTAAACTCAAATTCTATTTCTTACTCAAGAAGAGATCATATTCATATTGTAAAAATCAATTTATTGTTTCAAATCAAGACTTACAGGTTCTATAGGTTGAAAGGCAGAGTACAGAAAGTTTTAGGTCTTCTCAGGAAAAGCTAAGTAACTGTGAAAAGCTCATTTTTCTTTCCTTCTGACAACAAGCATCATCCTGTACTTGTTCTGTCCCTCGTCCTGCTTTATGGCCCTTGATAGATAACTACAATTCATGACTTCGGAAGCTTTTACCTATTTGCTGAATGCCTGGGACAGACTCTTACGTGAAAGCAATGACGTTTCTCAAACTGCTTCACTCCCAGAACTTCTAGATTTGAGGATGTATTGGGGACCTTGCTTAAGAGATCTGGTTGTCTGAGCACTCAATTAAAAAGGCGAGCTGAGAGAAGACTTTAGCAGTGGAGATGGACCATGATAAACAATCTACCATCTTCACTTTCATATGTCTCGATGGCTTAGAATTACAGAATACTTTTTATATATACAAGATATAATTTTATCACAATATATAATTTTTAGAGCTGGAAGAAACCTCTATTCCAACCCTCCCATCTTAGAGCTAAGGAAATTGGGGCCTAAACAGGGGAAGTGACTATGGGAAGGCTGGGACTAGAGTCTGTAGCCAAAGAAACACAAGTTTCCTC